GGTCAATTACTCAGTGAGTCTTCAAAAATCTCTCGGTGTGTTACTGAAGCCACCTCATTCCAGGTCTTAGAGAACTGGACAGAGAAACACCTTATGTAACCTTCTGGGATAATTTTAATGAACAGGTCCTTGGGCAGAGATGGTGTTTATCTTGGAACTTACCAGTTCGGCACCTGACTAGTTGAACTGAGGGGTTTCTTTTTGGCCCAGTGGTATAAGCCTGCAATCCTGGCAGTTGGGGAGGCTGAGGCAGGAGCATTGCAAGTTCAAAGCCAGCCTCAGCAACTTAGTGAGGGCCTCAGCAACTTAGGGAGACCCTGTCTCTAAATAAAATACAAAAAAGGGTTGGGAATGTGGCTCAGTGGTTAAGTGTCTCTGAATTCAATCTCCTCCCTCCCCCCCAACCAACCAAACAACAACAACAACAAAATTGAGGGGTTTCAACAGGAAGGGAGGGAAAACCATGGTACTAGGCCAAGTGCATTCTACTTGTGGTATCTCAGTTAGTCTCATCTGGTTGAAAGCAGAATGGCTCCTTGTTGGGTCCTCCTTACTGTGGTGATTTGATTGCTATCTCTTTTATCATCTTTTGAGTTATGTTCTTCATGAGTTGACTGGTTCAAAGCTTTTCCAAGACCTGCATTGCAGAACTCCTAGAAGATTGATTTTGTGCAGAAAGTAGCAACAGCTTCCATGTGTCTAACAGCTTATGGCCAGCAGCTGCTTAGAGCCACCCAGCAGTGGAATATGTGGTCGGAAGTGGGGAACGTGCTGATCAGTCCAGACTATCCTTTCAAATAGTTTGCCTCTGATTTATGCCTTTTTTTGTTGTTTTTGTTTTATTTGTGATGCTGGGGATTGAACCCAGGGCATTGGGCAGATGCTCTTCCCCTCAGGTGTATCTCTATCCCCTGGTTTTGTTTTTAAAAGGAAAGTTAGTGAATGTATAGATTTTCCATTTAACAGGAATATATTGAGTGTCCTGATAGATCCTATTATGATCTACACACTCTGGTAGCTAATACTGAGGAGTGGTGTGTGGGGGAAGTTACAGTGATGGAATTAAGATGTCTTGTTCTCAAGGGACAGGAAGAAAAGACACATATACAAAGTCCAGAGGAGTGATTCATTTAATGTGCTAAATGCAGAGAGGATAATTATACCTATCTTGGGGGATCAGGGACATGTGCTTAGAGAAGGTGGCTTTGACATGGATATTAAATGGTAGGTAAGAGTTCATTGTTAGAGGTGGAATAGAAATAAGGAAAGGGACATTTCAGCCCAGCAGATGACATAAATGGAAGTGTAGAGATGGGATTTTTTTTTTTTCATGAATCACCAACAAAACCCAGAATCATGGGTGACATGTACAGAATAGAATTTCTTGAGACTACACTGTGGAAGGTTTTGCCTGTTCAACTCAGATTTATATTTTATAGGTAAAGGTCACTAGGAATCCATGGAGGATATTAGAGCAAAAGAATGACATGAACAAATATTTGTGGGGAAAGTCTAGTTTCATCTAATTGTAGTTGACACGGGGGTTGGAGAGACAGAGATTCTGATGGTATCTGGTGAAGGGATCCTGAGGAAAATGGTGGAAGGAAATGTCTGGAAGGGTCAAAGGAGAAAGTGGTTATGGAGGAAATAATGTTGAGACTTGGTGTCTTGTAAATGTTCAAGCCGCAGAACAGGGTGAAAAAGAAGGCAAGGCCACGTTCTGTGGAAATGTATCTGGAAGAACTGTCCAAAGCAGGCAAGTGGAGTGCAGGAACCCATAGAAGATAAATTGGAGTCAATTTGCCTGTGGCACATGTGATTAGAAGTGTATGGAATTAGTTAGAAATGATGTGCTGCTGGTGCCCAGGAAGGCACTGGGGGTGGCGATGAGTTGTGTTAGTGTGTTGTATGAGTCATCAGATGTCAGGAGTTGGGATGAGGAAAGGCAGGAGTTCATAGGAGTAGTTAGGAGCTGAGAGTGACGCTGTGCAACACACAAAACATGATAATAAATGATTGAAGAAATGGGTGTTATTGATCCTCCTAAGCAGCAGGGGCACCACAGTGAGAGTGGAGGAGTCATGGGAGAGTGGGAGGAAATGGTTGGGGCAGATGGAGGGCTGGGGCATTAGAATTGAGAGCTGGTGGTTTTGGCTTATACGTTTAATACATTGCCTCTAACAGAGATTTGCCTGAGAGCATTTGGGAACAGAACTATAGACTTTGTACAGTTGAAGTGAATGAGATCCATGAGGAACTGACTGATTAAATAAAAGCCGTGAAGAAGTGAAATTTGAAGTTAGGAAGCTAGAGGTAAAAGAGGAACTGCAGAGTCTTGCTTGGGCGTCATTGAAGGATTGGTTATAAATTTCTCCTCCGTCTTAGAAGCTCTGGAAAGGACATTACAAAAGGAAGGAGTAGTAACAGTGTCAAGGCTGATGGGAAAGAGCATTGGAATTAGGGTTTGGGGGTGGGCATGGTAATATTTGATTGGTCCTGGCTGAAGTGGGGCTGGGAAGTGGGCCGTGGAGCCAGTCCTGTCCTTATATAATGGTCATTTTAGTCAGCTCAGTGGCATTATGGGTGTTCAGTAATCATCATTCCTTTTCCTCTGTGGGTTAGAGTTTTTCTTTAATCTTTTTCTATTGAGTCTAAGCTTTGTGCTTCCCTGGTCTTTGTTCTTTCATATATCTGACTTCAGAATGTTCTCGATATGAGTACCCCCAGAGACTTCTGTCTTTTTAAACTTGATTCTGTATCTGTGAATCAGATCTGAATAAAAAGCTGAGTAATTCTGAGAGACCTCAACCAAGAAGTTTAATTCCGGGAATAATTGTTTCCAATGCCTTGTCCTACCTCAACAATACCTTTTTTTGGCCTAATTTGTTGCTTCAGTGTAATTTTAGGCTGAAAATGTGTTTGATGCTTTAGGATACAAGAAGTAAGATTTGGGATGGGAGACTCTCTGATAGCCCTTTCTCTGGAGGGGATCTCTGGTAGCTGGAAGTAGAAAATCGTATGAGAGAAGTTTTGTTCCTACAGTTTCTTTGCCCTGTGGTTGAGAGCACATTTGCCCCTCAGCTCACAGCCAGAGCCATAAACAATGGACAGGTCCTTGCAATGGCCTAGGACTGTGGAACCTGTAACTTTCCTGGAGGCCCCAGTCACCAACGCAAATCATATTCTAAAGGAGACAGACTCAGAATGTTGAGAATATCCCTAAATCTTGCCATTCCTCAACAATTCTCAGTTCCCTGGAGGACATTATGTTAGAAGTAAGTCAGATTCAGAAAAGCAAATAGCATATGTTTTTACTTATGTGTGGAAATTAAAATGTTGATTTTGAAGAAGTAGCGAACAGAGCAGTGATTACCAGAGCTTTGAAGGCCCCGGATGTAGAGGATAGTTAATGGGTTCAGGGGGGCATATGGGTAGAAGAAATAGTGTTGTGTTTTTTTTCCCCCCTTTGGTATATGTGTGTGCTGAGAATCAAACCCATGCTAAGAATCTCACACATGCTAAGCATAAGCTGGACAGCTGAGCTACATCCTTAGCCCAGGAGGAATAACTTCTAATGTTCTATAGCACAGTATGATAACTATAGTCAATAGACATTGTTACCTATACAAAGTCTGCCTAACAGACATTGTTCTGAACACCTGGAGGTGGAGGTAACGGAGGAGCTAATTGGGGGACACTGCATGTTGAGCTGGAGCTTTTTGCAGAGCTAGAGGGTCCCTCAAAGAGGACTACATGGTGCTCAGAATTACCAGACAGAACAGCATCTTGTCAAGGGCAGGATACTGGGAGGAAACAGAGCTCTTTCAGTGACTTGGGAAGGCCAGGAGCCTAATCTTTCAGGAATCTTTTTGCCATTTTTAATGAATTCCTTCTAAAATTAAAAGTAATTCTCAAAACAGCCTTGAGGGACAGGTGGTTCTATTCCCATTTAACAGAGAAGCTAGATGAAGTTCAATAGATTAAGGAAATGGCATTTATACTGCAGACAAGTTGACAGAGCTAGATCTGCACTGGTCTGCCGGATTCGGAATCTCTTCCCAGACACCACATTGCCCTTTTGGAGGGATAAGAGTAGACCATGGTTTTATATAGATAGCCTTTGGATGGGTGTATATGAAAATCCAGGATCTTATATAGTAATTCTCTGATTTCTTTCCTCTCTTCCCATCCGGTTCTTGTCTGTGACCTATTCTTTTGGTTGCAAACTACTCCCTACTATACAGGGCAAGCAGTATCTGTTTGCATCCAAAGCAGAAAGAGTTTCAACAGCCACATCTCCGGAGGGTGAGCTGGTGTGTCTCTTTGCTGCATTTCTTCTATCTGGGGGCAGGCAGAGCACAACTGTGGCTGTCAGGGAGGGAGCACAGCTGAAGTCAGCCTCCATTTGATACCTCGGCACATGGTATCATGGTCACATTACTCCAGTGTTACTGACTCAAGCTGTTGTGTGATTGGTATTTATCAGGGCCACAGTTGGGGGAAGAATTCTATGCACTTTGTAGGAACAATTTCACAATGTCTCATATCCCAGTTGCCACATGTTCTCATAAAAATATTATGAATCCAAGCTTGTTTGCAGAAAACCGAATGGCTGTTTGCCCAATTCATGTACCACTTGAGGAATTCTGGTTATACCTTGACCTTTCGACCTTCTATTGCCTGTGAGGTCTTTGAAGGAAGCCCCATTTTCATCCTGATTTTAATAAGGAAAAATTAAATATTATGCATGTTTTATTCAATTAATAATACTAAGTATAGAAAAAAGGACCACAGGGGTGATAAATCATTTATAAATTTGGTGCTGCTGGCTGGTAGATTGTTACTTTGATAAAAGTAAGAAACTCATTGACAACAACTAAGAATAGCAAATGTAAATTCTTCTTGTTTACATTTAAAGAAAATTAGGTGGTGTCTTTTTAAATTTATAAAATGATGAAATGAAACTAACAGATAGTGTTTCCTTTTTTGTTATTTTGCAGAAAAAGCCACTGTCTGCAATAATAAAGGAAGTCTGTGATGGGTAAGTGTTCCTCAGGGTTCATTTAAAGCACTCCAGTTTATGGGTTGAAGGCAAATAAAATATTTCCAGTGCAGTAGTAAAATATTATTCATAACTCACACTTGACCATCCCAAGTCACTAAGAATTACTGCCTAAGAATTACAAACCCTTTTCCACCAAAAATTTACTAAGAGAAGAAAGTGTGAAATGGCTGGATTATCCAAAGTGGGATTGGTTTTATTTATTTTGAAAAGTTGTGTTCCTTTTGTTCTACTCAGTGGGGAGCAGTCTAAAGGTTCCTGAGGTTAAATACACACTGCATCTGGTGTAAGCTAAAAGGTCGCTCAGGTCCTCATAGAAGATGAAAGAATTGAGAAGACAAGTCCATGGGCAGTTGAACTGCCATGTGGAATTTCACTCTGATATGGCTTTTCTATTCTCTTTGGCTGTTCTGACAGTCCAAGGGAAAGCACATATAAAAGTTGCATGAGATTTTGACTTGTAAAGCAGAATTGTGTACAGAGTATTACTTGGAATTTATGTAAGACTTGGAATCCTTAATTGGAGTATTCCAATCTGCATCAGGCATACAGATTGGGGATTATTGAACTCAGACAATTGAAATGTGTTAATTATCAAAATTTAAATTGCATTTGTTTCCTTTGTTTTCCTCTCTCTGCTTGAATCTTTCAAAGTAGGAAAGAAGGTTCCAATTTATATTTAAATCTCTCACCTCCGTCCCTGAAGATGAAATGCTTCCAGGTGAACAGTAGCCTTGGAATAGGTCCAGACAATCCGTAGACGAAATGTTTGGTGTTAGGGTAATGAAGCGTGGGCTAACACCATTTACTTGAGAAACTCCATTGTGGTGTATTAGTTAGGACTGCTCATCCTAATCATAGGGCCTTTTAATTCATCCAGCTCTATGCAATTAATAAAAATGAAAATGATCACTTTTGTTCTCCTGATCACTTTATGCTTATATTTTTTAAGGTGGTCTCTTGCCAACCATGAATATTTTGCACTGCAACATGCCGATAGTTCAAACTTCTACATCACAGAAAAGGTAGGTCAGCTACATTATTTCATCTGGGACACTATATTTAAGGAAAGTAAATCATGACTGAGGTTTCCTGTTTCCTCTGCTCAGGACTAGACATGCTGGTCTGAATTCTACATCTCTGCCATCTATGGAAATAGGGTCTGTAAAGCAAACAACTGCTGCTTTAGTATCAACAAGACAATATTTAGTTCATTTAAGAGTGAAGACCAAATAATTTCTGAGTCTTGTTTAGCAAACTACTTTTGCTTCCTAACAGTGAATGTTAATTACTTCTCTTTCTCATTGTTTGATTAAGGAATTTGAAACTTAATGACTTAGTTTAACTTTCTTCTCACATCCCTCCCCCCTTTTATTTTTGCTTAAAATACTTGAAATAATGACAAGAAATCTTTACCAATACTTGGGAACCTACTTTCTTATTGGATGATTTTTCACTCCTTAATATGCCTAGATAAAAAGAGGGATTCATGAGGACCATGAATGGCCTGGCAGCAAGTAAAATTAATATCCAAGAGATCCAGGCTAGGATCTGAGCCAGGCAAATGAACATCTGTTTGTTGATTTTTTTTTCCTGAAGATTAACCTGTGATATAAAAATATTGGCTTTGGTTAATAGATAATAAACTGAATCACTGAGGTCAAATGGCCAGACTGATGTCACATACTTGATTTTTCAGGAAAGAAGTGAGTTTAGATCTTTGTGCTTCTATGATTTTGTCTTTTTGGAAATTTTTAGAATAGTTTAACACTCAGCTCGATTTGGGGGGAAAAAACTCCCTGAAATGCATAGGAATCTGTACTGTCCTCATGGAACTTTGTGGGGTTGATGGGTAGGGAAGGAACAGCTCAGTGAACAGCTGCCATTACAAGATGGTCAGCCCTGAAATGGAAGTGAGTACGAACTGCTTTGGGAGGAGAGAGAATAACACAGTTTTTTTCCAATCAGCATGAGTCAAGTGGTGGAAGGTGGACACAGTGAAAAGGATCCTACACACACTTGTGCCTCCCTTGCACTAATTTGGAGAGGACGGGGATTCCATTAGCAGGAGGGGGCTGGCTAAATGCCTGGAAATGCTGCTCAGAAATTGTTCTTCCCAGATGGACACTGCAACTTTTGTAAGGGATCATGCTTTCTTTCCTCTTCAAATGGATTTGCTACAAAGCTGAGAATTAAGGAGGGCCCCAGATTTCCTGGCGAGTGTTGGTTGCATTCATTAATTTTACCTTTTCTTAATTCCGTAAACATTTTGTTTCCTGTCTCTTTCCCCTTTGCTTGGTTTCTGAGTATAATTATTTGTTGTACAATTTCCATGTGAGATAAGGAACATATAAATAAATACAAGTTGAATGTGAGGAGTTAAGTGTATCACCTGCTTTCATTCATCAGCCTTGGATAGTGAAATCAACTCAGTCGGTTGCAAGAGCATTAAAAAATGAGAGTAGAATAGTTCAGAGAATATGTCACCTGTATTGTTTGTGAACTCTTTGTTTCAGACACCCACATGTGAAATGCATGTAGGTTGTACTATTTTTTTTTTTTCTTTTATCCTTTGGTCAGAAAGCTGAGTCACAAGTAGCCTTGCCATTGATTAATGTGTATGGGCTTGCGGCTTGCGTCCCCACTGGCTGTTGTGTCTTCTGTCATCATTGTCGGAGACCTCAGTTTATTGGAGATTACTAAGACAGAGTTTTCAGACTTCAGAGAATATAAACACTATGGGGAGACTACTTTAAAAATGTAGGTTTTCAAATCCGAATGGCAGACGTCCAGATGGTGCAGGACTTTCTTGGGTATTTCATAGGACGTTTCATTTTAAGGACCCCTCCAGGGAATTCTGATGTGGGATACCCAGCGACCACTCAAAAGAAACACTGCTCAAGGAGGGGTCTCTTTTCTGAAGTCGAGGACCCCTGCATAGAGAGCACAGTATACTCTGATCACAGGTTGTCACAGAGTTTGATTGGAATAACTTAAAAATTAACAGCATCCTATAATGTTGCTTTCTCTTTTCCTAATTAAAATTCAGATACACTCAGAAAATCCAAACTCCTGAGAACAGGATAATATTTATTATTTTGTGAGGCATCTTAATCATTTTCTGGGGACCCTTGTTTGGCCTGAAAAATTTATTCAAATTCAATGTTGAATTTCAAAGGGACTGGCCCCCTAAGACTACCATTGGGTCTTTTTGCCTTCATTATTTTTTAATTAAGAGTTTAGAGAGTGAGAAGACTCATCTTCCCAGTCATAACCCTTTTGTTTGTAAATAAAATGTCATTGCTCTTCTCCTGCAGCTGTTACTGGCACAGCTGTGTGTGCGTGTGTGAGACACAGGGCTGGACACGCACAGGGCAGGAGGCTATGTTGAATCTTGGCTCCACAGGGTCAAATCTGGGCTGTCTTCCGTGTGCTGTGTAGGTCCAAGTAATTTCTTACAAGTATTCCTAAAAATAGAAAACCTCTCCATCCTTAAAATAATGTAATTAGCATCCTCTCTGTTACTTACAGCCCAGTGAGTTGTTAGGTAATATTTGTATCACCATGGTAACCGGTGACTAATTTCTGAAACTCGTGCATGCTGTTAGTTACAGATTTTCACTTGCATATGAGATACTCTCCCTCCCTCTGCCAAAGATAAAAAATCACCTGTCATTTCAAAGGGAGAAAATTTTCTAGACCTGGCCTAATAAGCAAAGAGATGTGGTTAGTGGGGATGCTTGATGATTCTCTGCTAATATGTTCAGGAAGACACCTCTCCTACTTTTCTCAAGTTATCCAAATCCATTTTTCTCAATGGTGATCATCTACTCATTGGGCTGTTAACTTGGGTTTTTTAGTGCAGCAGAGAAAATGTCATGTTAAGTAGCATTCTGCTACTTGAGATTCAGCTATTTGCACATTCAAATTCTTCCCTGGGAGCCTATATTTTAGGGTGATGTCTGAAAGAGAGAGAGAAAGAATAAAAAAGTGAAAAATGAATTGTGTGCTTCAGTGGACTTGTCTTTTGAATAAGGATTGCAGAGAGAGTACTCAGCATTTTGGTCACTACCCTTGTCACAGTTTAATGATCATCTTCATTTTAATAAGGAAGTGAGACCAAGAGAAATTACATGACAATGTATATAGGTCATACAGGCCAGAAATGACCAAGCTGAGATTTGGACCTTATTGGGTCTGACTCCAGAACTCTCTCTGCCACCTCTGATGAACCCTCTGTGTCCACTGTCTTGGCCCCCATTTATTTATGATGCCCTTTCTTTATTGACATCAGGCAATTGTTCCTGATGGTAATTGCCTTAAGACATGAAATGCAGGAAGTTACAGCTTGTGAGTACTGGTTACCTGTTTCAGTCTGTGGTTTCCATGTGAGGGTAAATTGTGGGAAGTTGTAACAGGTAATTTTCTGCTCACTACGGATTAGCAAAGTGCATTCTATTTGTCTTTTGCTCTGGATTGCATGACTGTTTAAGGGAATATAATTATATTAATATCATTCTTTTTAGGCAGATGAGAAAATTGCCTTTTGTCTTTAACCCCAAGCATTCAGAAAGCTGTGTCCCCCAAAAGTGCAGGGCATGGTGAAAGAAGCATTATAGGGTTGTGTACTAGAGGATGATTTATTATGATTGCAGGACACTATTTGGCTCCACTCTGTAAGACTGACTCCAGAATGGATGAAAGTATCCTATTACCATAAATTTCTTATCTTGTAGTAACTAAGCCTATCCTATTACCATAAATTTCTTATCTTGTAGTAACTAAGCCTCATCCAGATCCTCTGCAAAGTTGGCCCCAGGAGCCTTTGGGAGGAAATGTGGTCTTTTGGGGAACACCCCTTTTTGATCATCCCCACTTTCTAAGTACTTGGGGTTCTTGGACAGTCCCTGAATTACCTAGAATCCCTGGGCAGACAGAACCGTGTGGTCTCTGGGACATGTACATTCTATTGGGGAGATCACTGTGTGTAATTTAGTTCAGTTGTCATGCTTTGGTGGACATAGCCTTAAGCAAGCACAAGCAAAACCAATCTTCAGAAAGGATGGAGGAGGCTCAGAGATAAAGGGGATGAGGGTCTGTTCAGAGGAGATGGAGAGGGGAACATTCCTGTCTTGATCTCCATCTCTGATTTCTGTGTCCCTTGTCTGTTTGTCCTCATGAGATGGCCTGCTGGGGTCTGTCAGATGTGCCGCTGGATTAAAACCAGCTGTTTGGGCTGGGGATGTGGCTCAAGCAGTAGTGCGCTCGCCTGGCATGTGTGCGGCCCGGGTTTGATCCTCAGCACCACATACAGATGTTGTGTCTGCCAAATACTAAAAAATAAATATTAAAATTCTCTTTCTCACTCTCTCTCACTCTTTATTAAAAAAAAAATAATTAAAAAATAAAACCAGCTGTTGGCTGATTTTTGTGATTTTCACTCAAAGAGCTTTCCTAGCAATAGTATGTTCACTTGGGCAAACCAAAGCCCAGGAAAGCTGTAAATTTCCTAATTCAGCCAAATACCCTGGACAACACTCCCTTTTCTGCTGCCTGTGGTAAAAGATTCTGGATTCTTTCAAAAGAAGTCACTGTTGCTTCCTCAGGAGGCCACTCCCTTCCCCAGTCTGACCAGTGCACGCTTGCACATGGACATTGGGCCTGCTCCTACAGGACCAGCTCTCAGCTGGCCAGGATGGGTGAAGAAAAATCTTCTTGCTCTTCTCTTTGCCCTGTCCCTTTGGGTCTTCTGTGTCTCCCAACTCCAAGTATTTCTCTCATGCTCCTCCTTGGCCGTCTCCTTTCCCTTTTGATACCTCAATGTCTGTGGTCCCCTCTGTGAAAAATGTGCCTTGCCTCCAGAATTCTTTCTTGCCCTGTGATCAAAACTGTTATTGATGTTTTACGGCTGCCCTGTTAGCAGCTTATATGTCTGTCCCCAGACTTGGTCAAAATGGGACGGTCCTAGACGGCTTATATCCAGGGCTACCAGAAAGAAATGGCCACACTGGAAGGAAACAAAACA